ATTTTTGCAATGTTGCTTTGACCAGGGTTTGAACCCTGCGCGGAATGGAAGCGTGCACTGCACCTTCTTCCTTGCCCTTCTTTAGTTACTGATTTATTCCAGTTTTCGTATTTCTGTTATACCGTTATATGTGAAGTGGGTGTGGTTAATGTCCGATTTAGAAAATTTTTAGAAGATTTTCAGTTTCACTCTAAGCAATGCTCGTACCGAGTTTGGTGAGGGTTGGTGACGCGGTTACTGAGTTACAGCAATTGTTCAGAAGTGGACGGTGCCACATCCATTTTTCAAACATAGCATAATTGTCTTGTTTTATGGCAAAATTCTACTTCACATATTAATTTTCTAAAATTTGGATCCAGTATTTACGGAAATATCGTAGTTTCTGCATTTTCCGAAAATACCGTTATGTGAGAGGTAGGCGCGGCTAGGCACCCTGAAATTGTGCATCTGGAAACTGTGAATACGAAATAATGCATATGACAAAACCCGAAGTAATGCGTACATGCACAGTTTCGGTTCAAAACCGAAAAAATGCATATGCACTTCTGGCACGCAGCAAACCTTAGACTGCTTTAAATTAAACAGGCTTCTCGATACTCGAAAGACGACCAATAATTAATTTTCAGGACTAAGTAAATAAATACCAAACTTATACCTAAGGATTGCAAAAAAGTAAACTAATCGATTAATTAATGATATGATTAATCACAAGCCAAAAAGAATTAATTGCAATTCTTGATAAATGGTCGTTTAATCGAATTTGTAAAGGCATTTTTACAGTGAGTATTCACAAAAACACTTCCATAAAAAATTTCTAGTTCTCTTGTTAATTACCCTTAAATAAAATAAAACTAGTATTTTTAGAGGCGATAATTATGCACTCTTTAGCCAAGTTTGCAAAAACAAAAGCTTGATAAGCCTTTTGTTGTTAAGTGGTTGCGTTTCTCGGTGGCTTTAGCACCAGCTGTTGAAAAAAGGCACCGAGGTACCAACTAAATGACAGTATTTTTTCGAAAGTCCGTAAAGTTTTGTGTTAAGTTTCAGTTAGTCTAGACATAATTTACGCAACGTATTTTAATATAATGCCCACAGCAATATTTTTTTGTAAAGAAATTTTTTGATGTGCGTTATAGGCGGGCAAGTGACCATCAGCTGAGAAGGAGAATAAAAAAACAGGATATTTCCGTTTCTGGCTAAGTTGACGTGTTGAGTAAACATTGACGATATCTTACGCAAGTTAAGTTACGCCCACACTAACTAAACTATAAGCCATTTTCATTTCCTCCCAAGCGCCGTTGATATTCCGNACTAATCAAAAACACACCTACAGCCTGCCAAACACACACCTACAGCCTGCCAGAAAAAACGGTAAGAAGAAGAGTTACTTTACTTATGGAACTGTACGATGGTATAAATATCGTTTATTTTGAAGGAAAATACAAATTTAGCCTGAAAAGCTGGAACCTTATCTTTTGGCGACCTTTTACTAATGAAGAAGTATGCTGTCAAATGACCAGTGAACAACATGAGTGAGTCATTCAACATCTTCCATTTTTACTTTTGTAAATATTATCATCATAAGAATTGTTTGCGTCTACTTAAAAACCCTTTTCTCACATAATAATACAAGTTTTATACCTAAACAATCCTTTTCTCATATATATTCAAAAGCTACGATCATAAAGTGTAGTCTAAAAAAACTCATTATTTAAACAGTAAAATAACATATTTCTCAAATCTTGTTTTACATACATACTTAAAATAGACATATGTATATTTATAAAATAGTCTTTTACTGATGTTTTAAAAAGGTTTTTTGTTATTGTAGAGCACGTGCGAATTTAACGAATCAACAAATATATATATACATACATGTATAAGTTACTTGCGTACGTAAATGTACGAAATTCATATACATATGTATACATACATGCAAAGCCATTGAGGCACTGAGAGATCATATCATCGCCACTAAGGCATCCAATCCCGGACCATTTTCTAAAACCCGGGATTTCGGGAGCCTAAATTGGTAATCTCGGGATCCCGGGATATTTCGGGATGTAGTAGTAGTAGTTGTAGTAATTTTATTTATCTTTAAAACTTAAATAAATAAAAGGTCATAGACAATAACAATAAATGTTGTGTGTCTGCATTGCACTTAGAACTAAACAATATTATATATATATATTTAAGAAAACTAATTTACAATCAGCTCTCTATATTTAAGGCAATTACTTATATAAATATGCAGCGAACGATAATTACCATCATTAAGAATATTTAAAACTCTTGGCAGGTGCAAGACTTTCTCACCAAAATAATCGATACGAATATTTTTATATATAGGTCATTCCCCAATGAAATGGTAGGTGTCTTCAACAGCTCTCAAGTTGCAAATAGAGCAGGTCTTAGAAGAAATATTTTTAAACGATCTTGCATTAAGATTAAGTAAGCCACCTCTTGCGCGAAAAATAAGACTTGTAGCATACGCAGTATAGTCATCATTAAAGTAGGTGGGGCCTGTAGGTATTAGGTCCGGGTAAAGGTCATGCGTTTGGGACTGGTGCGCCCTTTCAGTAAAGCTCGCAAACTCTATTTGGATCTGCTTTTCTAATATTAAAGGAATGTTCTTTTTAAGCAGAGCAGCGGAGAAATAAATCATGTTTCGGGATGTTATTATCATTAAATTAAATATGCTAACAAATTAGCTTAGTAGTCTTGCTTTGGTGCGGATACTAGAAATAAAAGTATTACTATTAACAGTTGAACTTTTTGAAGTTGATTTGCATAGTGAACAACAGTAAATTTGGGATTTAAAATTACACCATCGTAATCCTTTTACCAAAAGTATAAAAATATGTAATTTTAAGATAAAATTCGGAATTCTGGCTTTCAGTCTTGAAAGATGGATTTATTTACTCTTGACTACTAGAAATAATACACTCCAATTCTTAAGTTTATTTTCATTTCATTCGGTATCGATTACCGTGGAATGAGCCTATATGGAGAGATAGCTTTTGCCTATTAATACTCTGGCATTAACGCTCAGCAATTGCTTTTTTCGTTCTTAAGAGTCCGAGAGAGATAATAACATTTTCAACAGGGCCGGAGTTAAATGAAAGGTAGAAATTTTATATATTTATGAGCTGAAATATGCCAACCGAAAATCTTTATGTGTGTACAAGGTTTCATAACCACTTACCTACATACATATATCGGTGATCAATTTATCAATATCTACCCACTTGGTACAGTTATTGGTACAAAAAATCAATATGTTGGAAATTTTCGAAATCGGACTTAAATTACGCCCTCTTCCCTTCCGTGCTTCTTTGCAATAAATTTCAAAAGTTGTTCTTACTCGCTTTGGGCGCCCAGTTAGTAGTTTCTCATCTCAACCGACTCTGTTTAAATACATTCAAACACGCCTAATTGTTTAATTTGTGTTACTTGCGAAATTCGAGCGGAAGACGTGCTCGAGCCGGCTGTGCTGATAATGAGAGGCACTATTGGCATAGCTTTTTAGTTGCTGCTCTGCTGACAATCGCTTCAGTTGTGAATTTAAAGTGCCATCCGGAATTAAAGAACAATAGTAGTTACATACATACATAATAGTTAAAGTAACGAGGTGGGACGCGATATTGTGGCGAAATACATACATATGTACATACATACTTTCAGAGGGAATACATTTCATCGAATAAATAATAATAATATCAATAAGAAAAACAAAAAGAATTAACACTAAAATGCCTCAGTCTGTAAGTGAATTCATAAGTACTAAAATATCTACATATAAGTATAAATGTACTCATATATAACTGCATATACTCCAGCATACATATATACATACATACGATTCTAAATATGTACATATACAGGTACATACATATGTTAGTGTAGGAATGTATGTGTTCTAGCATACACTCTTTTTTTTCTAATCATATGAATGTATGTATGTATGTATACATACATATTTGACCTTTATTCGCATTGAGCATTGAGATTTCATGAACATGGTCAGATTATATGAATTTTCGCTCTTCCACTCTCATTACTTACTCACTTTAATCGGCAGTCAGTTATACAAATTTTGTGTTCAATCGAGGTATTCACAGTTCGTTCCGGAATACAACATTAACATTTTGTAGCTTTTTCAGCATTAAACTGTCGGAAATCGATGCAAAATAGTGGAAAAATAGTGGCAAAACCCATTTTGAAATCAACTCTGAACACCGCAAATGTCATCGCGCTCCTTTAGATTGCATTTCTTCCCTCATTTAATTGCTCAGAGTTAGCCGCGTTCAATAACAAAAACATTTGTAATAGTTATTTCTAAGTTTTGAAAGTAGGCGTTCGATAACGCCAAAAAATTATCCATCACTTAAAAATTGAGATTGGATTTTTCGCATTTTGGTAGCGTTTTGGCTGCCTGGTATCTGACTTTATGATATTACTAAAGGCCATATCACACGATTGGCGCATTTGTACAGATTTGTTCATATTGGCAGTCACAGAATGGTGTTGTCTAGTATTTTTTTTACCGAGAATAAAAAAACAATACCAAACAATACCACTTTGTAACTTTCAAAATGTACAAATTTGTACAAATGCACCAATCGTGTGATATGGCCTTTAGTACTATCATAAAGTCAGTAACCAGGCAGCCAATGTTCCTGGCGAACATTCAACGTTCCGTTTCCTTTTTTTCTTCCATGGCGGCACCATACATTTCTGTTTCTTTACAAATATAAATAAAGTCAGCTGGTGGGTCTTCTTATTCCTGTTTTTGCCAGTGATGTCTTATTTTCTGTTCGGTAACTTTTTTGGTTTCCCTCTCATTTTGGAGAGCTTTTCGCTTACGCTCTCGATTTGGATTGCTGGCTGGTTAAGGCTAATTTTGTTATAGAACACAACTTATATTTAATTTACTCTCTCGCACATATGTACATACATATGTATCTAGTTATCAATTTATGTATATGTTTTTGCCATTGCAGGGATCATCGTTTCTAAAACGTGCCAGCGCCGATAAACTCCGGGAAGTCTTCCTTAGATACGCTTCATTACAAAAGGATGGCGACTACTACATGACCAGTGAGGATTTCGTGCGCAAATTTCTCGGACTCTTTACAGATGCGACATTCAATGATGTGAGTAAATGTACATTGTTTATACTACATAATTATCTACACATGTATGTATGTATGTATATACAAACATATTTACTAGGTACATATGTAGATATTTATTTACATACCTATTCATTTGATAACAAATAACACGTACCGTTTGCAAAGACCTTAATGATCTTTTGCGTCATGTTGTGTGACGCTATTCTATTTTGTATTTAAAATAAAAAATTTTGATCATACATTTACGTACAAACATAAAGTTTTTCGCGTAAATACATTCATACATATGTACATGCATATATATGTACATATGTACCTAAATAGCAACTAGGTATGTACATGCATTGGATGTTGTAGTTCTCATAATAAGGCACCCACACAAACTTTTTCGCGTATAGATAATAAAATAGAAAAAAATTGTCATGAAAGTTCTACAATGATACCAACAGTTGGCATACACATTAGGGTGCTCCATTATTTTCCCTTTTCCTAAACTATTTTCGGATTATTTTAAAAATTGTAGATCGAATAAAATCGGGTTACAAATTCAGGAAAAACTAATTCGATCGTGTTTTTTTAAGTTTTAATAACGGTAGTCTTAAAAGAACCTCACAAAAGCGTTTTTGTTTTATATCAAGGTGGCAGGTAACAATATCAACAATTGGCCCTATTTCCCATAGTGATGCGAAATAAAATCAATTGACATTATTTCCTTTTCAAAAGAGAAATAAATTTAAAAAAAATTGGAAACAAAGTAAATGAATGCACCGAGAATGAAGAAACAGTGTCCAAAAACCCCGGAGGAACACAGAAAGAATTGTTTTTAAATGAGCATATTTTGAACGAATTCGGAATTGGCCGCCAAGCTACGCAAATTTTATGTTTGAAAGAGCAATAATGTCAACAGATCTTATTTCGCTTTTGAAAAGGTAATAATGTCAATTGATTTTATTGCGCACTAGTATGCGAAATAGTGCCAATTGGCGTTATTTCCGTTGAATTTGTAACCTGTAGTCACATATTTCAATCTTGCCTCGGTGTGGTTTACAAGCTTATATTTAACTTGCTCTGTATGTACGTAAGTTTGTTAGGGGCAAATCTTGCAATAAATTTGTATCCAACTTCCCGAGGGCCTAGAGACTTGGAACTTCACAGTTGCTTCAGAACCCGATAGGTGGCGCAGGAGTCGAGATGTTTGAAAGGCTCGTTTTTTAATCCGATTTGGTTCGTATTTAGAAAGCTTGTTTTAATAATATTTGTTTTTTACTATTAACTTATTTTAACTATTTAAATACTGGCCTTTATTTTTGAACGTTTTCGACGTTGTTAAGAAATTCTTTCCTAAAACATGGAAACCAGATGTGTTTAAATGTTTTTTTTTAATTAACGGATCTTTATGATTAGATTTTGCCGGTAGTTACGTAGAAAAAACGATCTCGGCTGCTTTTGGCACGTGGCTTTCTCAAAATATTCTTTCCCGAAATAATTTTGAACCTTAAAGACGTTACAAACTTTTTTAGCGGGTTGCCTAGTGTTTATACATGCCTACATATGCACATACATAAACCTTTACATATGTATATAAAGAAAAAAATTATAAAATCATTTTTGCAATCGGCAAACACTTCAGAATACATATTGTATATTATCGATTTATGAGTGAGAGTACTTCAAGTGCAGTTTCACACACTCCGGTTTCAGGTTAACTGGCAGGCCGCTTTCGCTTAATCCGGTGTCATATATTTTGTGCCGGCTAACCGGCGACCGGAACGTGTGAAAGAAGGCTAAGGCTTTGGCATTCCATATTTTTAATTTTTAAAAGGGTTTTAAATAGTTGTAATCAACGCTTACTTCTTAATTTAAAAGAGAAAAAATGTTATCTACTCTGGACGATTCCCCTAAATAAATAAAAATAATCACATGCGCAACACATGACTTTCGCGGCAGCACAAGAGTGGGAAGCGCGTTGATTTGCTAACAAACATATGTACATATGTATGTGTGTAAGCAGTGTGGGGCTTTAACCCAAACTAAACCTCCTACTGTCCAAGTACCGATCCCCACGGTACCACCATCACGTATTCCGTCGGGGGGCGGCTTGAGCACTAAGCTCGCACGTACGTTCCAGTCAAATCAAATGTATGTCAATGTACATATGTATGTCTATAAGTAGGTACAGTGAAAGCTCCAATAGACGGACGCTCTAATGAGCGAGCATCTCCTTTAAGCGGACACATTCTTGGGAACGAACAATTTTTTTTTTTTTTATACAAAATGCTCTCCCATACATGGACTTTCCCAAAAACGGACGCGGACACTCAAACATGTCTATTTATGAAAAAAAAATCTCCCATAAGCGGACACGAAGCTTTAATAAGCCGTCACAAGTAAATACGTCCATATTCAAAGATGTTTTCCTTTTTAAATTTTGATTTTACTTTTCATTGCCCTCATCTTGCCGCTTCAGCAAAGCGAGCAATGAGATTTGTCGGTAGAAAAAAACGCCATAAATTTGAATTTATTTTCCCTTCATTCTCTTTTTATCTATTGAAGGATACCTAAATATTATCTGAATTTAGGCACCCGCAATTAAAATTTTTTATTATTTATTATTTTATATATATTTTTTAGAATTTTAGTAAATATAATTTTTTTCCGAAATTCCCCATAAGCTGACAAAAAGTAAGTCACCATCGGTGGCCGCTTATGGAGCTTTCACTGTACATACATATGTACATACTTACATACATAGTGCATAAGTATAAATATAGTTAGCGAAATTTATGAGACAGCGGAGCATTGTTGTAGTTGCTCACACGTAGAGCTAATCATAAAAAACTCTTATCGCTTCAAGTATTTGAAACTAATTTGCCAAATGGGGCTGCTTAATTTAAAGACCATAAAAAGTATATGTACATACAAAACTAAATAGTAATTAAAAGGAAAAAAAACAATTGTTTGAGATACTAGAATATGAAGTAGCCGAAATGCCAAAAATAGATTTAATTATTTATTTACGTGGCACCGATGTGTTAGCAATACACATTTAGTAATCTAATACAGCACCAATTGCTTTTTCTAGGAATCCGTACGTTTGTTGGCCAGCATCGCAGACACCAGCAAAGATGGGTTGATTTCATTTGTCGAGTTCCAGGCTTTTGAGGGACTGCTGTGTACACCCGATGCTCTCTACAAAACTGCCTTTCAACTGTTCGATCGCCAGGGCAATGGCACAGTTTCTTACGGTGAGTTGGAGAAAGAGAAAATAGTCAGCTTAACACAAGAGTTGGTAACTTTATATACATTGTATATTTAGTTTAGGTATGTTTGAGCCTTTAGCTTCAATTAAGTAAAATATTTGTCTTTCCCCTTCCAGCCGATTTCGTCGATATCGTACAAAAAACCGAACTGCATTCTAAGATACCTTTTAATTTAGATAGTTCCTTTATAAAGCGGTATTTCGGCGAGGTGAGCACTATTTACATCCACTCTTAATCCATACACTTATTCGCAATTTAAAAATTTCTACATTCTATTTGCAGAAAAAGAACCGCCCCATCAATTATGCGGAATTCACACAGCTGCTCCATGATTTCCATGAGGAATATGCAATGGAAGCATTCCGTAGTAAGGATCCAGCTGGTTCTGGATACATCTCACCCTTAGATTTTCAGGATATTATTGTTAAAGTGAAGAGGCATTTACTCACACCCGTTGTCAAGGATAACTTAGTAGCGGTGAGTAAAAGTTGCTTCCTTGTAAATAATGTGGTATTTCCACTGTCGAAATTCGTTTGGATCAATAGGTCACTGAAGGTCACAAAGTGAGCTTCCCTTATTTCATCGCATTTACTTCGCTGCTCAACAATATGGAATTGATTAAACGCATCTATTTGCACGCTGCCCAAGGTAATCGCCACGAGCCAGTGACAAAGGACGAACTACTTTACGCCGCACAAACAATGAGCCAAATTACACCATTAGAAATTGATATTCTCTTTCAATTAACCGGCGCACTTCACCAAACTGGGTAAGCTCTCCTTACAACAAATGAATCATGGATTATGAATATACATATATGTATGGAGATAGACGTAAATGCATATATGTATGTAGATATCATTCACGAGTACATTAGGATGTGCCTTATTTAACAATTTGTTTTATTTATTTGGGTCGCATCTCTAAATACTTATGGCCTTATTCATAAAATATAAAGTAAGTTTTAAAAAGTTTATAAATTGACGTTTTCATAAATTTTTAAATTTACAAACCTTTTATAAAGCTACTTTATTTTTTATGAATAAGGCTATTAGACTATGCTCTCAAAACAATCGTTAAACAAGTCTTCAAGAAACTAAGTACTAAACAAATTCCTTACCAGAATTTAGTTACATTTCCTAAAGAACTTATGAATTTTTCACGTTTACTGTTTCGTGTAGGAACCCGAGATCCAACAAAAACAATTTTAAATACTTTTTGATGAATATTTTTTTAGGTTATTCGATGTAAAAGTCGTGAAAATGGAAAAAAAATTCATTCTCGGTGCTGAAGAAAATGTACATGTGTATAAGTATATGTATGTATGTATGAATTAAATGCAAAAAGTTCTAAGGTTCTAGAATGCGGCCCAAGAAAATATCAGCTTTGTAAAAAAACGAATACCCTAATGTATGTGCATATGTACATGCTTACATTCATGCACACCACTTATCCATTGTCAGTTACGTAACGAGTTAACTAGAAAAAGTATAATATCCTATCGAAATACGAGTAATGATACCTAAACTACCTTTAGTTTAAGTGGCAGAAAATAGCCGTGAAAATAAATTTGTATTCTTTATCGAGGTACTCTAGCAAATATATAAACATTTTAGCAAATTACACTGTACAACAGTAAAAATGAACTTCTCGAGTGGTCTGGTATATGTACATTAGTGATGGGGAGCTTTTGAACTAAAGAGCGAAAGAGCCAGCTCTTTTAATTGAACTAGTTCATTAGTTCGTTCATTAAATTGAACTAAATTTTTAACACGTATCACATCTCGATACATCGCTGTGGTGTAGTGATAAGCAGTGCGCGCTTCCACTCCGCAGCACCTGGGTTCAAACCCTGGTCAAAGCAACATCGCAAAAATATAGAAAACAGGTATTTTCTTAACAGCGGTCGTCCCTCGGCAGGCATTGGCAAACCTCCGAGTGTATTTCTGCCATGAAAAACAGCTTCTCATAAAAATCCAATGGCCGTTCGGAGTGGGCGTAAAACTGTAGGTCCTCAGCTTTGTCTGACAACATCAAGGCGCACGCCACAAATCCGAGGAGAAGCTCGGCCCAACACTAACATATGTGTAAGCGCCAATCTATTATTATTATTATCACATCACGGTTTTCGTTGTTAGGGCATTGACAAATAACTGATCGGAATTCGCGCTAAAAAGACATTTTATTTCACTGAATTTACAATGTTTTAAATACATCGTTTAGGGCAATTTGTGAAAAAAAAGTAAATGCTTGAGTTGAGTTTTTGGGATGTGTTGTTTAAGAAAAGACTATCGCTTGCAAATGCCAAAGCGAAGCGTAATTTTGTCGCATTTCGAAGGCAAAATTCAAGGAAAGAAAATGAAATGCAGGCACTGCTGAGTTTCAATAAGCATTTTTGATGATTCTCATGGAAATTTGAATCGCCATATGGAAGCCAAACATCTTGTTGTGATTTTGGAGAAGGCGAATGAATGAAGACGACTAAATTGTGTCGTTATAGAAGAGGACCATCCACTTGTAGAAAAAATTTGGTTTTTATTTTACAGATTAATTCGTCGCTCGAATAAAGAAACAGTCTAAATGCCACGTACACTATTATTCGATAAATGCTCCATTGGATAGACAATCCTGTAATATCTATTACAAAAATCTTTAGTTTTCTTAAATATCTTTTTGGCTCACTAATTTATTCCCGAAAAACGAAATTGTATTTGTATGGTTTGTAATGGTTTATAAAAACTTCAAATTCGTTTTTCTCAAAACTATACTTTTCATGTTACACTATTTCATTACTCCAGCGACGATTTCAATCTTCTATATGTATGCATGAGTAATAAAACATACATCTTTGTTTTGTAACTCAGCTACTTCTCTCGAACTAGTTCAATTAGGTGAACTATAGTCCAATAAGATGAACGAATTAAGACTCAGAAGAGTTAGTTCATTGAGCTGAACGAACTAGAAGTGAACTAATCTTTATATTGAACTAAAAAATCCAACTCTAATGTACATAGTTCATAGCTATCGGCCGAACAATTTACAGAACCCTGTATTCGTCAACGTACCCATATCAAATCATTTCACATGTATTGGTGTATTCGTCGAATTTTGCCTCTTCGACATTTGTTAAGCAGTTTTGGTTTACTTTTTTTCAACTTTTTATAAAACAACAGGAAAAGTCTGCTAATTTATCCGATTCCCTTTAATAGCTGCAGCAAGTTTATAGAAAATAATGGGAATTGCCATAGGTATATTCTAAGCTGTTAAAATATATTTTAGAAATCAAATAGCGAATATAGGTTAAAAAGCAATTGCCTCAATTTGAGGCCCCCAACTACTGAAAATATGAAATCCTAGACCCCGGACTATATGGGCGAATAAAATTAATAGAAAAGTTAAAATGTTATCATTTGCGGGGAACTTAAGCTTTTATAGTTTCAATAGATTAAAAAATGCATTCCAACAATTGCAAAGGTAGAGCGTTTTTAAGATTTCACACCGTCATTCGAGTGGGGAGTACATCGGTCTAGGGAGCAATGACATTTTATGGAAGAAATTAATTCCAATTTCGAATATAAAAAAATAACAAGAATTAAGAATTTTAGGATAGCTAAGTAAAGTGTTAATTTTTCGTAGTGGCTGTTCTAAATGCAATGTAAAATATTTAAGAGAATACATAATATGATTTTGTTAATTTCTTCCTTTTGACCACTTTTTCCCATGACGACAAGTAAATATATTATCACAGTAAAGGCAAAAGAAAAGAATAAGAATAAAAATTCATCTGATCAAAAGTTGATTGTACCTAAAATCTAGTGATTATACCTAATGTACCTTTAGTCAGAAAACGGCGGAAAAAGGTACAATTGTACCTACATTTTCATCCCTTTTAAGTACGAGGTGAATTTGACAAAAATCTTCGCCGGAGCCCACGCAGGTTTTCATCAAACAAAAATCGTATCTCAGTTTTTATCATAAAACAGATAAAAAGCAAAATGTTTTGGGAATATCAGACTACTCTAAAATCATAAATTTCATGTAGTGTGGCACGAAAGCGTAGGACAAGTATTAGGTTCCGTAGAAAAACGTGCGACGTGGCACTCAATGTGTTAAAGTAGCTCTCTCTTTTTGTAATTTTGTCTTGGAATATTGCATTTTCATACATTCAGAATATCATACATTTTGATATATAATGTTATTAACATTCCCTTGTTGTTTTACGTATATTTTCTTGTAATTTTCTCCATATGTTAAAATTGTACATGTTTTATCTATATTGTGCTGGTTAAAAAAAGTTGGTGGAGACGCAAAAAAATAGATCCAAATAGGCAAGTGAATAACTAATAATTGATGTTATTTTACATTCTNATTTCATTTCTTATTCAGACGCATCGTCTACAATGACCTGAACAATATTTCGCCTGAGCACTACACGAAGCATATCACCACACGTTTGGCAGAGATCAAGGCCGTCGAGAGTCCGGCCGATCGTTCAGCGCTCATACAGATATTGGAGAGTACCTACCGTTTCGCGCTCGGTTCTCTGGCAGGCGGTGAGTAACATACGCATACCTTAACATGTAACTGAAGCTCATCTGCTTATTTATGTGCTTAGCCGTGGGCGCCACTGTGGTATATCCCATTGACTTGGTGAAGACACGCATGCAGAACCAACGCACAGGTTCATTCATAGGAGAAATCGCTTACAGAAACTCATGGGACTGCTTTAAGAAGGTGGGCGTAAAAAAATTGTGATCGGAATACTTTTCATGCAAAATTTATCTTTTATACTTTAGGTCATCCGCCACGAGGGTGTACTTGGTTTGTACCGCGGCTTGCTACCGCAGCTGATGGGCGTTGCGCCCGAGAAAGCCATCAAGCTCACTGTGAACGATTTTGTACGCGACAAATTTACCGACAAACAGGGTGTGATAGCAGGGTGGTCCGAAATTATGGCCGGTGGTTGTGTAAGTACCCGAGAATTAATATAACCAAAATGTTTCAGTTACGTTTTGCAAAGCATTTTTCATAGTTTCTGTGTACTGCGTAAAAAGTTCACCTCAGCTTTCGTAGGGAGCTTGCACGGAATGGGTACTCAGGCGAGCTTACTTAACCGTTCTAACTAGATAAATGTTGACTAGTCTAATCCCCGCTTTTCTCGCGATTCCTTTCAGGCCGGCGCGTCACAAGTGGTCTTCACCAATCCTTTGGAAATTGTTAAGATTCGTCTACAGGTTGCCGGTGAAATCGCGGGAGGAGCTAAAGTACGTGCCTTATCTGTTGTGCGTGACCTGGGTCTATTTGGCTTGTACAAAGGTGCACGCGCGTGTCTGCTGCGTGACGTACCGTTTTCTGCTATCTACTTCCCCGCATATGCGCACACAAAATCTCTGTTTGCCGATGAAGATGGGTAAGTGGAAGAGAAACGCGTCTCTCTCCCTTCTGCTCCTTTCCGTTATTGAGGTTATGATTGGGACTGGGATTAAGATTTAACCAAACCAATACGATATTCCCAATTAGCGTAGTCATTTAAGAGATACCAGTATTGCCATATTTCTTTGTAACAGAAAAACTCTAACCTCCAAGAAAAAAAGAGCTGTTGAAGCGCTAACAACGCCAACGCAACGCCAAATGTGGACGGGCTTTTTCCCTGTATAGCTTAAAAATTTATTTGAAAATAAGAGATGTTTTAATTTATTGATTCCAATCTGAAATTGAAAAAACTGTAATTTGCACTAGGAAGTAATTTTTACAAAACTGTAATCTGGACGATAGAGCTGGCAACACTGATAGACTCAACATTTTAGAAAAAAAAAAATAAAAAAATAAAACCCTGAATGGGACATATGCTATTGGAGCATGCGTATTAAAAATAACTATGGACGCGACATTTTAACAAGTTTTGGCTATCTATCTTTTGTATTATTTGTTTATGAAAGTATAGCCAGTGCACGGACTTTACCACTTTATTGGTAGATCTGTCAACTTTTTGGCTATATTATATTTTCTACCAATTTTACCAACAAAGGCTAAAAATCTACCAATATTTTCCGGAAAGAAAGCAAAGAGATTTAAATGAACATACTACATATTTTTTCATCCAACACCTTAAATAAAAATGAAAAGTTAACTCTGACCATAACCAATTTAATAGTGGAATTGCATCTCTATCAGCTCTTTTTGTATATATTTTTCTTTTGCAAACGTTTGTGTGGGAGACTGCCAAACGAATGGGCTGCAGACTTCAACCATTTCAAATCTAACTTTAATAAAAAAAATTTGTAGCGGAGAATAATGGTTGGAGCCTCTCTCCTATTAAATTACGAAATACGAAATTTCTTTTTGACCATTCGGTATTGAGTTCGCTTTTGCTATTGTTATTGTATTGGAGAGAAAATAACGGTCATTTTATTTCATTCGATGCAAATCCTTGCGTTCGATCACGGATGCCGTGGTGATTCGTGCCTGGTTTAATGTAGAGGTTTTTTGTTGAATATTTCTGTGTTCGTATGGAAAAGTAGCTTATGTCGAAAGGCCGGCTTTAGTATAATGCGGCATTCCCTTTATTTTTTAAACGACAAGGAATTTTTTGATGAGACTTAAAAGAATATTGCTAGTATCGGAACTATTTCTTGCACGTTTATTTGCTAAAAGTTGTTTAACGGCTTAGCGCCCGTGAGTCATTCGCAATCGTATGCTGCGAATGCCGATTTATACTAAAGCCAGCCTTTCGACATAAGCTACTTTTCCATACGAACACAGATTTTGTTGACCTGAAAATAATTTTTTGTTTGTTTTATATAAAAATACAATTTATCTCAAGGTGAATTCATATGATTAAAAAGTATCTAATTTTTTTCTTTTAAATAATGTACCAACTTCTACCATTTTTTGGGTGTAATATCTACCACTATTAATTTTTTCAAAGTCCGTCCACTGAGTATAGCTCACTATCTAACAAAAATCGTGTTAGTCCGAATTTCAAACTTAGTAAAAAAATCAGTAAAGTTCGACAAACTTCCATTGAAATTTCAAACTTTTAACTAGACTTTTAAGACAAAAATTTGGTGTGCTGTTTTGTAGCCCATTCAATTTTAGTAAAATTAAGTGCAGTCGACTTTTGAAAATTATATTTTGCTGACGGTGTCATGCATTTCAATTATTTTTTAAATTTAGGAAAATACAAAACACAGCCAGCAAATTTCTGAATAAAAAGTTTGAAATTTATATGAAAATTTGTTTAAATTGTACGAATATTAAGGTTTTGACTCACATGGTTTTCATTAGATAGTGAGCTATACTTTTGTAAAAAATAATAAATTAAAAAAAAAACCAAAGAAAAAAAGCCAAAACTTGTTAAATTTTCGCGTTGGTATTTGTTTTCCCGCAACCGTAGGCACTTTTTTTTGGCACTTTCGAAAATGTGTATGTATTTATGTATGTAGATATGTATGTATACGTTATACTTAAAACCCCTTTACTTCTATCATTCTTTAGTTATAATCATCCGCTGACCTTACTAGCGGCTGGTGCAATCGCTGGGGTGCCGGCTGCCTCACTCGTAACACCCGCTGATGTGATCAAGACCAGGCTGCAGGTTGTGGCGCGCTCAGGTCAGACAACCTATACGGGCGTGTGGGATGCCACAAAGAAAATCATGGCCGAAGAGGGACCACGCGCCTTCTGGAAGGGTACTGCCGGTAAGTTTGCATGTACAATGTCATCTGAAAATTTGATTAGGCTATTTTATTTTATTTTTTTTTACATTGTATTATTCTCGTAGCTCGTGTCTTCCGCTCTTCACCACAATTCGGTGTCACCTTGGTCACTTACGAATTGCTGCAGCGCCTCTTCTATGTTGACTTCGGTGGCTCGCATCCATCTGGTTCGGTGGTGAACAAACCAAATGTCATTGATGATACTGCACAAAAATTCAATCCCGATCATATTGGAGGCTACCGCGCCGCTGTGCCTCTCCTCAACGGCATTGAATCCAAGTTCGGCCTCTACCTGCCCCGTTTCGGACGCGGAACGACGAGCACAAGCACCACAACTGGATCGTGATGATTCGATGTGGTTGGCAATGGCGCCGATTGTCGACAAATACATACACACATAGTTGCTCTTAAATAAGTCTACTGTTAAATAATTTTTAATAAATGTCTATAAAAGAATGTTATTAGAAATGGTAAAAAAATTTAACGCATACATAAATAAAATAATTATACATAGTAAACAAATTGAGCAATTGTGCAAATAATAAAGAAGACACATACACAAATACATATAAAACCATATATTTTTTGCTAGATAAATATTTATTATATTTCAACGATTTTCAAAGGCAAAAAATTAGACTTACATACATACATATAAAACGAAGTGAACACATTTTGTATACAAAGAGCATATGTACGTATATAGCATAACACTAAAGGATCAAATAAACGACCGGAAGTTAAATATACATATGTATAGGTAGCAATTTTGCCAACTTTTCAGAAAATCATACACGCATACACAAACAGGACAATGTCAAAATCAAATTTGAAATAAACCAAAAATAATAATAATTTATTAATCGTGTAGAGAAGAGCTATTTAAACTGTCCGTATAATTGTTTCCGTACAATTCATGAGTGACCTCTCGCTTTGTGCGAATCTACAAGAATGTAAGAAAAATTTAAATACACAAAATTTTGTGAATTACTAAGTAATTAAAAATATTAAATAATAATAAGTCACTGATTAGTAAATTATATAGAGTTTGCACCCTTTTAAAATGCTCTTTAAAATCGCAAATACTAAAGATACAACAACAAAGAAAACAAAAAAAATAATAATAGAATAATGATGACTAGTAAATTTGTTAAATTGAGTTTGGGGAATAAACGCATAAATAATATAATTTATTAGAATAAAAAGAAGCAATTCAAATTTAAAATCGCACACAAAAACGAATAAATATTTTTATTTAATGGTCACTTCTGCAAGTCGCCCTTTTAAAGTGCAAATCATTTTTCCATTGGAATACAAGTATTGGGTAAGTTATGAATA